GTTTCTATCCCTACCTCCTGTCCTCTTTCCCTTACTACTTACTTCCCAGTGCCTCTGACTGCCCAGCATTTCTATTACCATCTTTCTCCAGAACTTCCTTTTCACACTCTGGGCTCCCCTCCCATCCAGGGTCAGTACTGGATACATGGGAAATTCCAGTGGTGTGGTAGGAAAGCTAGAAGTGTCTGATTATTCACCAAAGGGTTATGTGCTTACAAGGCATTTAAGAGTATCCATTTAATAAAGCGTGCTTTTGCTTTTTGAGGTGGGGAGGGGTCCAATGGAGGGGAAAGAGTAAGTAGGAAGGACAACTTAACTTTAAAATTCATTGCTCTGCTGGTAATTCTCAAACCTGACTGTGCATCAGAATCACCCAAAGAGCTTTTAAAAATACAGAGCTTAAGTCCCAGAACAGACCCATAGAATCAGAATCCCTGGCATTGGATTACAGGGATCTGAATTACTTACTGCAAAGTTCTAGAGAACTTCGACATTTGCCCCATAAAATCTGAATTGAAAGGGGAGGACCTATCGAATCTGAATAAAGGCTACCTCTACCCTTAAGAGCACTATTATAATACGGTATGCTACAAACAGCTTAAGCAGATCAAGAACATTTATTCAGTTAAATTCCCTATGTACTGGGGCAAAACCTAACAAATTGGACACTTTTTAAATATGGGTATTTTATCATATCCCAACCATACCTCAATAACACTGTAAATTTTTGAAGTTCCAAATGAAAAATACATAAAATTTGTGGCATCTTAAAAAAAAAGTCGCATGTATTTCTAGGTGCTAGAAAGCTGAGTACACAAAGGCAGAGAAACTATAAGCTTTCACATCTATGAGGGACAAAAGGCACATTACATACACTTTCTTACACATACATATTAACAGTCACCGAGTGCGTGCTATGTGGCCCTCTTGTAACTTTTACATGCGATTAATTCCATTCTCATAACCCTATGGGCAGGTGCCATTATTATTACCATTTTAAGATACAGAGAGGTCAAGTAACTAGACAAAGTTACAAAACTATTGAAATAAGTGACAGACCAGAATTTAAATCCAAACTCTGTCACTTGATGTATTGAGTCTGCTCAGGCTACCACAACAAAATACCACAGACGGAGTGGCTTAAACAATAGAAATTAATTTTCTCCCATTCTAGAGGCTAGAAGTCCAAGGTCAAGGTGGCAGCAGGTTTGGCTTTTCCTGAGGCCTATGCCCATGGCTTACAGTGCCTACTCACCGTGTCCACACTTTGCCTTTCCGCCAGGAGCACAGCCCAGGGGTCTCTCTTTCTTCTCGTAAGACACCAGTCATATTGAACAGGGCCCCGCTACCCCCAATGATCTCGTTAATTTAATCACCCCTTTAAAGATTTTACCTCCAAATATGGTTACATTTGGAGCTACTGGAGGCTGGGACTTGAACATGAATTTTGGTGGCATGCCATTCAACCCACAACACTTGATGACTGTGTAATCTCAAGGAAGTTACTGACTACCCAGGCCTCAGTTTCTTCAAATGTAAAATAGTACTACTGAGACTCAAATAAGATAATTCATGCAGAATGGTTAGCAGAGTAGAGTGTCTGGCAGAGTATCATCATTTTTACAGACGAGAAAAACAGAACTCAGAGCCATGGTGACTTGCGCTGTTGTCATCTCTGGAGTGGAGTTCTTACACTTGCACGACACTGCTTTTCTGTGCAATCGAATGCATAATCTAGGAGACTTATATATCACTTATAACTTTTCTACATCTCTTACTTCCTGCTTTCTTCTGATATTTTTCTTACTTTATTCCATACAAGAGAATACAAGAAGGGGAAGCTCAAATTAATAAAAATTTAATTTAGGGAAATGGACCACTCTCTTGGGACCGTTTGTGGATTTTATTAATCCTTTCTCCTAATTTGCAAAGACATTTGGCTACAGTCGTATAGTGATGATACCTCATAAGATCAGCACCTACTTTGAACTATTAGGAAAGGAAAGCAACTGGTTGTTTTTTTTTTTAATTGCCTAGTACTCTACACAGGTTACACCCACTTAATCCTCAGCCCAATCACATGGTATTTTAATTAGCTCTATAACAATCATGAGAAGGTATTATTCCCACTTTATAAGTGAGGAAACAGGTGATAGTTTATTTAACTCTGTAACAATCACGAGAGGATATTATTCCCATTTTATAGCTGAGGGAACAGGAGCACAGCAAGGTTAAATAAATGTCACAAAGCTTGACAATAACTGCCAGAGCCAGAACTCTCACTGACATCTTCAAGTCTAAGGCCAAGTTCTCCACGGAGGCCACCACCTCTACCCTGGCAAGTTGCAACACCTGGCCTTCTCGATGGTCATGCTTGCCACAAACCCAGCAGGTGCTCAGCAAATAAAGCCACATGGGATCTTCCCCGTCCCTTGTGTAGGCCGTGGTCCCCGACAGCGCCGACCATCACCAGCTCCTGGGACTGACAGCTCTTCTAAGGCAACCAGCACAGCTCCCTCCCTCCCCAGTGGCTAGCACACTGCGTGCTCATTCGAGTTCAACAGATATTTGAGAGAGTTCAAGTAAATATTTGTTGTATAATCAAATCACAGCAAATTCTTCCTTTAGCGATGGCAATGGGTCCTTTGCAGCCGCCACCAGGTAAAAACATCAACAAGAGGAAGCATTTATTAAAAACCTCTCTCTCACGGCCTACGACAGAGACGTCTGCAGGGTTTTTCCAAGCCCAGAAGCCTGTGGTTTCACTGCAGTCTCTTCCTGCCAGGTGACTAAACTGACCACCTGGGTCACCAGTTGTCTGCACCGTGCCACTGGATCCACCAGTCGGGGACCACAGTGTTCTCAGTCTGCCGACGCTTCAGGAACCCGTACGTGACAGGCACGTCCGCAAGTCCCAGAGGGAACTGTAACGGGTGATGAGGTGGACCTGCGTCACGGCGGAACTGCTGTTTGTCAAGGCCTCTGGGTCGTAAAAAGGAGTTACATTAAGAAAAATCATGGTAACTTTTATTTTCTCAAGAATACACTGCCCTTCAGATGTGTTTTTTTTAAACTTCAAGTTTGTTTTGCCATGAGCAGCCAGGCGAGTTCTGGCCCTGCCATGGAAACTACCTGAGCGCTTCTGGGCTGCTCTGTTCACAGGGAAGAGAGGGAGGCGGAGCCGCGCAGCGCAGCCCAGTGTCTGAGTTCTGCTCTCGCTCGGTAACTTCAGGAACTTCAGGGACTTGCGGGTGTTCGGTTCACTCATCCCTCATCCTGCTGCTTTTTGCACCCTGTTGTGAGCGGGCTATCACCTCCCTGGCTGCCTATTTCCCTGAGCTGTTGTAGCAAATGAGAAAACATTTTGAGCTCCTAGAGAAAGCAATCAATCAAGAACTAAAATGGCAAAATATTAATTTTTCCTCTCTGAATCGATCTCTTCCAAGTTCTCTGAGACCCAAGGCAAGCAAATACACTACAAAAGTAAAGGGTTACTCCAGGTTATCTTTTCTAAGTCAAAGTATCTTACAAATACTCTTTTATGATGTCTTAATCAAGAGAGAAAAAAATTTCAGAAAAAAAATGAAGAGGCACACAAGTGGAATAATTCTAAAAAGAGATAAATTAATTTTTTTAACTTATCCATCATCATCACTGTAATAAATATTTACTAAATATATGCAACATACAAGGTACTGAGCTAGATGCTGCAAGGACACAGATTTTGTAAGAAATGTCCATACGGCCTCCTTTATTGCCCCTGCACCTTAAAATGAAACTTTCATTCAGATTTCCTTCCCAAATAAACAAAGATTTCAAGTCTCCCTAGGACATGGAAGGAAAGAACATTTTTTTCTATGTTATTACTTTGTGGCTTGATAGAAAAACTTTAGAGCACACCAGGGGAGAAACTATTTTATCTCCTAGCTTCCACCAACAAGCAGCAGCTTTCTCGAGAGTGACTGAGCTACACAATGGCTGTAACTTCTGCAATGACCTGATTAAATCTGACAGGCACATGACAGGGGGTAGAAAGGGACCCATGTGACCTTCGATTTCAGTAAGAAAAGTTGACACATATTGTCAGAGAAAGCAGGAAGAAGATGAAGGTCATGTGGTTTGGAAAGAAGGTGAAGAAGGATAGTACAGAAAGAAATATTCCAAACAGCAGCAAATCACTGGGGATTCCTTGAACGCCCTGCCATATTAAATCACATACAGCTACTCAGTGAAAGGGAAGTTCAGGCCTATCTCATGCCTCACTTCTGCTACTGGCTGAGCTTGAGAAAGAAAATTAAGACAAGCTTTTCAGTCAAACACAGAAATTGTAGCATGGACATTTAAGGAAACAGGCCCATGAGGCAGGGTAAGAGACTTGTTTAGCAATTAGTCATTGTCCTTACCCAATTAAATTTAAAACAGAAAGCCCCAAATTTCCTTAAAGCTTTACTGGTGACAGTTTACTGGAACTGATTGTTCCAATGTATAAATGCTTTGTGTGTGTTTACTATTGTCCCTGGATTTACGGCTAAACTGTTCTCAAAAACAGAATAAACTTCTTAATATCTGCTTCATTCACTTTTAACACTGTATTTTCCAAAAGCCACAGAAATGATGTTCTTCAACAAATGAAATAAAGTGAATACCGAGAGCCAGCTCTCATGCCCAAGGATGGGGACATAACCAAGGGTTTACACTGCAAGGCAAATAGGACACACTCATGATATATATAGTGAAGACCATGTTAAGGAAATCTATAACATCAAACGAAATTTTGTAGTTACAGTTCTGATCCAGCTGAACCATCTTTTGAGACAGCCAATCACAAACCAGATTGCTATATTTGGAATTCAGACGGCAAGAATAGGCAGCCTCTTCACAGAAATGGAAAGTGACAGCCAGCCAGCTCTGTGTCCCGTGGTGTCGTCTCACATGCAGCACACCAACGATTCTTAGTTATCCAGGCTTTTTTCTTAACAATGAAAAGTAGATCCACTTACATGGCTCTCTGGCAATGAACTGAGGTACAGTGTTGGGCAGAGGCGTACTGGGGTTCGGAGTCCCGACTAGTTTGTTCTTGGCCATCTTCGTGTTTGCCTTAGCAAACTCTAGTCGTAGTGTTTGCGGGATTTCAGGATCGAAGCGGATGCCCTTGGGAAACAAAGAACAAATGGAAGATGTTTTCATTTCCTCCGAGTCAAACTGGGATGGTGACAAAACAAACACACCGGTAAAGCCCGGCCTGTGCAAACCAGAAAGAACAAAGTCAGCAGGAGCGCTCAGTCTCACTGGTTACACAGAACACGTGAGAACCCACAACACGACAAGTCCAGGAAGTCAGGGAGATTTCGTTTACTTCATGTTTAGTTCCACAGGTTTTCAACTCTTCTTCATGACCTTTCTTCTTAGACAAAACACCTTCATGTTTTAAACTCAGACCAGCAAATTACGAGCATAGTTAAAAACTTCAGTGAGTGGCTACCGATAAGAGTAACAGGGTTAATGTAAAGCTCTATGCAATACTGGAGAGTGTAACACTTAAAATCCAAAAGGCTCAGGCTTGACCAGTGTTCTGACACTCGCTTAAAACAATGCAATTCCTTAATGCCACCGTTTCCATCACCTCCAGGGAGGGAGGAACTCCCGTCCCTTTCTAACTGGACAGCTTTTATAACCGTGATAGACGCGCTCCAAGTTACTAAGAAGACAGAACCTGAACAGTTTTAAGATTTCAATATAAGAAGTATCATTTAATTCTAAGTAGTTTATAAATTTATATAAAATCTAAATGTCTTGATGTGGATAAACTCTGATTTTGATTACAGCCGGCTTGTTAGCAACACAGAGAAACAGCAGGTTAACTGGCTCAGAGACAGGACAGTCGTTTCACAGTGACCCTTGACCCTATTATCACAATTCACCTAAAACAAAAACTTCCTGTGAAATAAATCACAAACACTACAGAATACGAGCTTCAGGGCGAGAGAAGTCAGTCTATGTTGAAACCCACCTTTCAAGAACGCCCCCACTGCTGAGCAGGACAAATCACCTGACATCTACGTCCATTACCATGGATCCGGAACCCAAACCATGGCCCCAAAAGACATCCCAGCACGGGGCACCAATGTGCACTCAAATCAGGTTTAGGTCCCAGCTGGGTCTGTGTGTGTTCGAGAAAAGAAGTTCTGAAAATGACTATCCTAAAGAACACAGGTAGGCCTGTGGGCACCAAACCCCACTTCTTCTTCTTGATTAGCTTAAAGGAAAGCAAGAGCAATTTCCAGAAGAAACTGGTTAGAACTTCTGACTCGACAGATCAGGATGAACAACTGAACCTCACAGGCTTGGCTCCAGGGACAGGAGGGAGGGCCTGTGGCTGGGTGGTAACAGCAGTGAGAGAAGTAAGGTGTGTGGGGGGGGGGGGGGGGGGGGGGGGTCCTCAGGGAGGCACAACAAAGGCCACAGAGCCTGGATGGCACTCCAACCTGCACGTACGTCCTGGAGACAGTGGAAGGGCTTATGAGAAGGTGGCCAACAGGCAAGGGTGGGCAGGAAGGATGGGACTCTACTGTATAGCCCTAACCAACAACAAAAAGTGAAAACAGGGTTCCAGTTCTACGAAACGAAACAGAAATTCTTAAATTGTCTCAGTTTTTAATTTGGGAAACCTTAGTATTCTTCTTGCCAAAACTGTATATAAGGAAAAAGAACAAAGCAAAATTCTGAAGCAGTGGTTGCTTCTATCCACTCCACTTAAGAGCATTTGACTGCATCAGAGCTAATACCCCAACTGAATACATATTTCTAAGTATGGACCCGAGGAGCCGTCATCCGCACTGGCAGGACGTCCAGAGCAGTCCCTGGCTGTCATGTAAAAGGTATGCTGTGGGGGGACCTGCGTATTCACACCACACACCCTCAGCCACACACAGTAACAACCTGCCATTGGTTTCAGAGTGTCATCACTGGCACTAAACTCCACCAACCTTTTTGCAAAGAAGCAATTTTTCTAAACCTGAGTCCACGTCAACCTACGCCCAGGCCACGGCGGCACGGAAAGCACACCCTGGGACCTGTCAGTGGTCCTCTGGGGCATCTGGCCTCACACAGCTGAACCTACACCTCCGCTCTTGCACTGGCGTCGGAGCACGCTCGCCTTGTACAAAATACCTGGGCTGGCGGCTCGGGCCCTAAAACACGCTGGAGGGAGTCTCTCCCACTCCTCGCCCACCTCTCTATAACCTCGCCCAACCCGACACTTGCGCTAAAATAACACCACCATCATGTTCCAAGTCAAAGTTCCAGCTCCTTGTTAAAAAAAGCTAAGTTAAAATGACCTAATTTGTTTGGCAGCTTATTCAGAGGCTAGAGGCTCAGAATACAAGCCACATTCCTCTAACATCTTTGGCAGCAAAGCCATATTTGGTCATCAATATCCTGCGCAGCTCGGTTCCTACCCGCAGGGATTAGCCAGGCCCCAAACACTCTAAACGCTGAAGGAAGATCAAGAGGAGGTAGAGTGGGGTGAAGTGGGGGGGGGGACACGTGGAAGTGAAGAGGAAGAGAAAGAGAAAGATGAAAAAGAGGGGGACAGATAAGGAGGAGATATGAAGAAAATACCTTGTGTTTTTAATTAAAGCAGAGTAAGATTATTTTCTGGCCACAGTGACTTCACGTTAACTGCTGTCGGAATAAGATTACCACCAAGTCAAAGGGGGAAACCTGTGCCTTTCAAAATCAACTTTTTATTCTCTTGCCTATAATTCCTCAAAATCCTTCTTACAGTGAACTGAGACTTTCCCATTTTTACACGCTGTCTTTTTTTACATGCTGACTAGAAATGACAGTTTCTGGATATCAATATGATATCAATCTGAGAATAAACAATTACTTAGGAAAAGCCCAACCTGACTGGCTGCAGGGATCGCCAACAGTCTCTTCAAGATGTGACCCAAGCGGCACAGGGTCACCATGACCTACAAAGGCTCAACTGCCTCTCCAGGGCCAACTCTGGAGGGATAGGGGCACTTCTGACAATAACGTCTGCAAGGGCAGCTTCAAAGCCATGTGCTTACATACTAGGGGCTGAGTGTCGTGTCTTCCCAAAACTCCTGTGTCGACCACCGATGTGACGGTATTTGAAGGTGGGACCTTTGCAAGGTAATTAGGTTCAGATGAGGTCACGGGGGTGGCACTCCTGCGATGGGATTAGCACCCTTGGAAGAAAAACACGGCAGGAATCTCCTCCCCCTGCCCCCACCCCCCCGCCCCTCCGCCTGAGAACGCACACCAAGTTAAGACCGAGTGAAACACAGAGCAAGAAGGTGGCTGTCCGCAGGCCAGGAGGACGGCCCTTGCCAGACACTGAATCTGTTGGCAACTTGATCTTGGACCTTCCAGCCTCAACACCTGACAGTATTCTCTGAGCCCTCCACAGTCCCACGCAGGGACATCTCTCCTCCTCCACCACCAAACCCATCCGCAACCCCACCTTGCAACTTACTGCAGGTGACTCAACCAGCAGGAAGTTACCTTTCACAACCTCTGCAATGCCTGGCACCCGTGATCACTAGAAGGCCCAACAATTCAACCTCAAAGCTACAGAGAACACTCAGAGGCACTGAGAGGAAACGGAAACTGCATTTCCACACTGCGATTCTCTAAGCTCAAGGAAAGTCAGTTCTTGCACTCAGGGCTGTTGAGGGAATGTTTAAAAATCATCTTTTTATTACTCACGTGTAAACAAAGCTCAAGAACCATGTGTGAATAGAAAAGTTCAAACGAGTTTTCTGGACTTGTGCAGCGACCAAACAGACCAGACATGACGTCGTAAGGGCCTCCCTGGGACCAAGTGGGGCAGCTGCTCGGACGGTCCTCCTTCTGTGCGAAGGACACTCCGAGGCCAACGTCCAGGTTCTGTGCCCTCACTTCTGTGACAACAGCTGACTATTTAAGGGACAGCTGCTGCCCAAAGTGACCAAACGTGTTTTTTTTTAATCTTCGGAAGGTTTCAACCTTGAGTACAGAGATACAGAAGATGGAGGTGGCTGGAGCTGAGTCACCTCAACAGTCTCCCACTAGAGAAACCCCTGCCAACCCCAGCCACAGGCCTTCAGCGCGGGCCCGATGCCTGAGGAGTCTTGCTGGTCTGGTGCACCCTCCAGTTCTGTCTGCTACCGGGTACCCCGGTGCCCTCAGCAATGGTTCTACCATTCAAGTACACGGTTGTATCCATCCTGGATGATGAGTTTTGGGGGCCATGGAAGCATTCATCAGAGAGAGAAAAAACAGTAAAGCATGAAACAAGGCTATATATATTCACTAAATAAATATGCCCATGACAATATTATGTTAAAAAAATACTCAACAACGTTTCGGAGTCTTGGGGCTGTGGGGGAGACTGTGTGTGAACACACTAGTCTGTCTGTGTAAGCCCAGGAACGTTTATAAGGTGACAACCGTCCCACTAGTAGTGGAAACTTGGGTGGTGGGGGGTGGTGGGAGGTGGGGAGAAAACACGGCACCATGACTCCTATCCTGTTTAATTCTGTACTGTTTGCACTTTCTGCACATGTGTGTAATTTATGCATGTATGACTTGTAAACTCTGATACGGGTTTTCTAACGAGTGGGAGAGAGCCCGACGGTGGGGGTGTCCACGGAGTGCCGGCAGACCCAGAGCAGCAGACAGGAGGCATCCCGGCACCAAGTGTTCAACCAGCGAGGCTGCTGTTCTGTTAGATTTTTTTAAAAAAGACTGTATTTTGAAATAATTTCAGACTTATAGAAAAGTCACAGACCTAACACACAAAAATTCCTGTATACCCTTTGCCCAGATTTCCCACACAAACTTTTATTTTGCCCTCCCTGAACAGTTTAAGAGTAAGTTGAAAGTATGATGCCCCCTTACCCTTTACGGTTTGATTTTCTAAAAAAAAAAAAAAACAACCCCCAAAACCACGACATCTCTTCATTTTCCTGAGCCAGGATCGATCTAATCCAGACTCACACAAAGCATTCAATAATCTCTTCAGAGTCTGAAATATTTTTCCCAGTCCTTCTCTCTCATGACCTTGACATTTTGCAAGAGTACGGCAGGCTGTTTGTTTTGTAGAATGACCCTCAGTTTGGGTTTATCTAACTTTTTGATTA